TATAGGAAAACTAAAGTCTTACAAGTTCTTGAATATTGGTTAGGAAAGATGTTGGACTTGAATTCTTCTCCCACCAGTCACCGTATGTCGTGTTCCGATCAAAACTTTGCATTCGCCTTCAATGACAACAACTTCTCTGACCGGATTCTGAGGATTGAGATTCAACCTGATATGCCTAGTTCTAAATCAGGCGGTGATGGATTTAGAAGCGGGATTGATTGGGAGCGCAAACGCAATCGGAAGAGAGAAGTAATGAATGATAATGATGGTCAGTATCCCACAACCTGGTTTGTAATTTTGTATTCATTTCTTTTCAATTCTTGCTACCTATTGTACATTTTTATGTAACTTGTAATTTTGGAATTTTTAACTTGTACGCTTGAATTTTCATTTTTTGATATGAAGATCTTATGGATGTAGGCCTAGGTTGTGTAAGTGTATGTTACTCAGATCTTTGCATCGGAACGTCCTTGAGTATATCCTGACTACTAGAGTTCTAGAGTCAAGCATATGTTAGGCTTTCCTGTTTGTTTCTTAAGGATGGTGTATCTTGATGTTTCCATTACAGATATTACTGCATATATAAATTATTTTCATCAATGATTATGTGACAATTGTTTAATAGTTGAATTGATGACATACTTCGTTGCTGAGAAATACTCAAGAATCCTTTGACCTATGTGTGAAACAATATGAATTTTCACATGGACACTCAATCTTTAGTAATTATTGTGACATATCTAACTTAGATAATATCTCTCCCTCTTTTACATGTTCTCTCTTTTACATGTTAGCTTTGAACGGACTTGTGCATTGCGAGAAGCAGAACTTGAAATGCATTATGTTGGATAATGAAGATAGTTTTTCCCATGAGAATCGTGATGTGGAAGGTGCGGCATTTATCGTAAAAACACCACCACTGTTATGCACATGATTTACAACTTTGCTCTTTTTAATACTTTCTCAATCCCATTATTATCTCCCATCTTGACTTGGTAGACTGATTAAGAAAGAGGAAATTATCTAAATATGATTAAATCATAACGCATTTTCTCAACTAGGACAACCATGGTTATAATTCTAAAATAAAACTCATTCACTGCTAAATAATTGTTTTTATTCTTTTTGTTAGAGTAAATATGTACTATGAGAATAAAACATAGTTAGTCCTCTGTGTGAACTTGATCCATGTTCTAATCCTATTATGGGCAATTTCTTATTCAAAATGTGAAACTTATAGGGTTGAAAGTTGTTCTTAGGAGAGAGAACAATATGAACCACATATGCATGGCCTTAAAAGGAAAGATGAGTTTACATTGAGAGAGAATGAAAAGGGAAGTTAGAAGTTTATTTTGTATAGAGGGACTAGTTTAGTGTGTATAACATTGTGCTCTTTTCATTCGGTATTAATCAATACCTTTAAGGAGGATGAGTATTTTTTTGGAGGGGGCCTAGTAAAGGATTGAATGGTCAAATATATGTTACTGAAGAAACTATCAATGGTAGTGTGCTAACCTTGAATGCAGACTGTTCAAGTTATCTTCAAGTTAAAACAATACCCATCAGTTCTCCAATATTAGTAGAAAAGAGTCCCTTCTTTCTTAAGGTTAGTACTCTTTAGTGTGGTGCTACAAGATTCTGGTGCTCCTCTTTCATTTGCCTTATTTGCTTTTCCTTATATGTAACCTTTAATGTTCTTTTTATTGTAGCTCTTTTCAGGTGGTATGAGAGAGCCTGATCAACGACATGTAACCGTGTGTATAAGTGCTTCTGGTAAATGCAACAAATACAAACCGTTTTTTCTAGTTTTTTTTGTCTTATACTACTCTTCTAGATGAGACATAGACCATTTCACGTTTATATCCTTTGTCACTTGAAATGGGTTTTAGTTTAACAAGTTTTACTTCTTTCGCTCTCAAAAGTCTAATTTATATAGTAGACAATATCATATTCCGTATAATGTTTATGTAATGTTTGTGCCTCGAACAGAAGAAGTTGCCTTCATGGAACTCCTAAACTTTATTCATGGCAATACCGTATCGATAACCACACCCACTGGCTTGCTCGATGTTCTTATGGTTGCTGATAAATTCGAGGTTTCCTCCTGCGTGACATACTGTAGCCGATTAATGCTAAATCTACCCATGACTTGCGAATCAGCATTGCTCTCTTTGGACCTCCCTTATACTCTATTAATATCTAATAGTGTTGTTCAACTCCTGGTTGATGTTGCGAAGAAATTTCTCTCTACCCGTTTCACGGATTTTTCCAAGTAGGCATCTTCCTTACAAAAGGAACCGCTTTATTTTAAATGTTCTATTATTGAAGCTAAATTCACCCCAAAGTTATGCAATGAAATGAAAAGGTTGGTTTAGTTCGATATTCTAGTATTAAGCCCAACTCCGGGATTAGCAAATATTTATTTGCATAAATAAAACATGAATCTCGAATACACAAAAGTCAAACACACATAGGGGTTTTACTTATTCATTGTCTTTAGTATTAATGCACAATACATTATGTGCATTGATAGCTCAACGGTGGCTGGGTGTGGTAGTTGGATTGTGGTTGGTTCATACTCCGATAGTGCATGAGATACTCATACAATGTGATGACTCTTTATGTGCACCAGATCTCGAACTACCTCACTCAGAAACTGTTTGAAATTTACTCCTTCATCATTCTATATGATCGGTGTGAGGAGGCGCTTAAGGTGGGCGGTTCCACCTTTCGATGTGAGAATAATAGCACAATACAAAAACATGATTTGAATGATTTTTTACATAACAACTAATTATTATTGTCAGGTCCCAAGAAGAGTTGTTGCAATTGCCACTTACAGGAATCGAGGCAGTTTTTTCCGGTGATGACATTCAAATAGCTTCCGAAGATGTTGTTTTTGATTTCTTGGTTATGAAGTGGGCCTGCAAGCATTACCCAGATTTGGTGAAACGACAAGAGGTTGTGAGAACATGTATTTGCTACCTCATCCGTTTCCCACTCATGTCATGCAGTAAGCTGAGACGAGTCCTGACATACAAAGAGTTGTACCATCATTTCATTTGGAAGCATGTACTCGAGGCTCTCTTCTTCAAATCTGAGTCCCCACACCGACAACGTTCCCTGGTTCTTTCCAAAGAGGCACACCATTGGTTAGTCGAGCGGGCCTATAAGTACAAGCCAATCAAAACCATCGAGTTCGAGACTCCATGTCAGCAGTGCGTGGTTTACCTGGATTTGAAAGAGAATGAGTGCTCGAACCTATTCCCCTCTGGTATGGTGGCTTCACAGGCCTTTTGTTTGGGTGGGCATGAATTTTTCATCGTTGCCCTCTGCAACATGGATCAAGTGAATTTGTTCCACTGCTTCGGGCTTTTCTTGGAGATGCGAGACAAAGAGTCCGTTCCTTTCACAATTGAGTATGAATTTGCAACAAGGATGAAGCCGGAGGAAGACTTTTGGGCAAAGCATAAGGGGCGTTCTAGATTCAATGGACTAGGAGCCGTTGGATGGAGGAACCTATTTGGTGTGGATTGGAATGCATTCATGGCCGATGACAATGTTTTCTTCATAAATGGAATTCTCCACCTTCGAGTTCAGCTAACTCTTGTGAATGAAGACTAATAAAATGATTTGATTAATTTCTTTTTCTTCATTTTTGGTTGACTTGAAGCGGAAGTTCAAAGAGGTGGCATTTTTTCAAAAGAAGGAAGATGCCATGAAGCTAAAAATTGGATTTAAGGTTATCATGCTTCTTTAAACTCTAGAAGTAGCTCTTTTCATTAATCTTTCCTTAAACATTTTTTATTGGGGCTTGTTTGGTTCGACGAGTTTTTAGGAAGACAAGGCGAGAAGTGATTTCCTTTTAAGATTATGCTTGCATTTAGAAGGTCGTAAATAAAGTACAGAAAGTACATTATAGATATAAGGGGTGTTTGGATTTGATTCTTAAAACCGCTTCTGCTCCTCCAGGAAACAGAAGCGGAAACAGAAGTTGGAGTGTTTGGGTGAAAGTGCAAAAGTGATTCTGGTGCTCTAATTTACTCCTATAATCAGTTTTTTTAGAAGCTGAGAGACCGGCTTCTGAAAACTGATTCTGATTCTGCTGCTACTTTAAAAAAGAAGCAAAATCAGAATCGGTTCCAAACACCCCCATAAATTAGAAACGAAAATCAATTCCCATCTATCAACCTCCCAAAATCACCTAGCGAAACAAGCCTTAAACTAAGAGTTCCGATCCTTTTGCATGTCATCCATCAGGAAACAACTTAAAGTGTGGATCCATTTAAAAACTAAAAAAGGGTGAGGAGTGGATGCAAGGTGTAAAATAATACGCAGTATAAAACAACAAACCAATAAATCAAGGCCAAATCTGGACCAAGACCAACAGGTGGAAAGGAGTGTCCATGACCAAAACCGGACCGTGTCCATGCATAATACTTGTAGGCGTCCAAATGACATGAGGACTTAGTGTCAAAAATAGAAGTCATGTCAAAAAAGGAGACTCAAAGAAGACCAAATATTTAATAGCTCAACATACATGGCTCAAGGCCTAATCGGAAAAAAACCCATAGAAACGTTTAACCCACAGCCCTTTTTCATCCATTTCCTATTTTGTTTACCCTGCAAATCTCCTAAAAGATTCTCTCTGCCACAAGGAATATGAGAACAATGGAACTCAGAGTCGACATGGTCGGTTCCTGTTAAAAATGGTTTCAAACTTAACCGGACCAGTCAAAGGCACTACAATTCCATTCTGGTTAAAACGGATGGTTTCGGGTCTGCTTCCAGACCAGATTTTAAAGGTCTTAGAGAAACCCTTAACCAGAACCAGCCAGTCCTATACTTGAGGAACTATAATCAGATTGAATATCAGATAGTCAAGTCGCAGATGTCAATTCAAGAAGCACCCCATCTACTAGTCCTGGTCCAGTTGTGTAAAACCCCAAGCAGAACACTATTATGAAAAGGGGCAACAAACATGAAAACTGTTTTTTTTTCTTCAATGATCCAAAGCAAAGCCCTATCAAACTAATGAAAAAGAAGTTTCAAGCATTGAAATTTTTTCATCTTCTATCACATTAAATGGCATTGCTCAACTTATTGACTGCAAAAAAAAGCCAAGGATTGGGAAAAAAGTTATCAAGAGATACAAAACAAAGAAGTTCAAGATAATAATATCGGGACATAACACATGAATGTAAAGCAAGCAATGGATTATGGATAGAAACCGGGAAAAGTAAACAACACTGAATGTAATTCATCTCTGCATGGTATTCAAAGTTCAAACTTCAAACCCTAGCCTTTCGAGCAAGCTTAGCCCACTCGGTATGGAACGAACCTTCCCTATCAACCCTCTCATAAGTGTGAGCCCCAAAATAGTCTCTTTGAGCCTGGACAAGGTTGGCCGGAAGTCTAGCACGCCTATAGGTGTCGAAATACTGAAGGCTAGCAGACATCCCAGGAACACTAATCCCACTGTGAATAGCAAAACCCACCACCCTCCTCCACCCACCCTGTCTTGCCACCATTTCCCTTGCAAACTCTGGGTCCAACAACAGGTTTGTCAAACCGGGATTCCTCTGATATGCCTTCTTGATTCTGTCCAAGAAAACAGCCCTAATGATACACCCTCCTTTCCATATCTTAGCTAGCTCACCTAAATTCAAACCCCATCCTTTCTCGGCACTCTTTGCCCTTATTAAATTCATTCCCTGAGCATAACTGCAAATCTTGGAAGCATACAATGCCTGCCTGACATCATCTATTAGTCGCTTTTTCTTAATAGAGAACTTAGGTAAATTACCTTTAAGACCTGCTTTCTTGAATATCTCAGCAGCATTTTTCCTCTCTTCTTTTAAACCACTCATGTATCGACTGTCTAACGAGGCCGCTATAGTGGGAGCAGCAATGGATAGTTCCGCTGCTTGCTGGACTGTCCATTTTCCTGTACCTTTCATCCCTGTTTTATCCAAGATCTTGTCAACTAGTTCCCCACTTTCTGTCACTCTATCTCTGACCGTGAAGATGTCAGCTGTGATTTCAATCAAGAAGCTTTCAAGCTCTCCAAGGTTCCACTCTGCGAAAGTGTTAGCTAACTCGGAGTTGGAAAGTCCACCCAAGTGCTTTAGAACATCATAGGCCTCGGAAATCAACTGCATATCGCCATACTCGATCCCATTGTGTACCATTTTCACGAAATTACCCGACCCACCTTCACCTATGTATGTGACGCAAGGGCCATCCTTCACCTGGGCGGCGACCTTCTCGAGGATGTCGCGGACATTGAGGTAAGCCTGATGGGAGCCACCGGGCATGAGTGAAGGGCCGTATCGAGCTCCATCCTCGCCGCCGGAAACACCCATGCCCAGATAAAGCAGTCCCTTGGACGATGCCTCCGAGATGCGACGTTCAGTGTTCTCATACCACTCGTTGCCGCCGTCGATTATGGTGTCACCCGGTTCCATGTGCTCCGACAAGGCGGCGATTGTTTGATCCACGGGGGCTCCGGCCTTGACAAGGATAACGACGGATCTGGGTTTCTTAATGGAGAGAACGAAATCACGGGGAGTGTACTTACCGAATAATGGAAGATGTCCCTCTCTCTTTGCCCGCTCCACAGTCTCGTCGATCTTGGAGGTCGTCCGGTTGTAGACAGAAATGGGGAATCCCTTGTCGGCGACGTTTAACGCCAAGTTTTGCCCCATGACGGCCAGACCCGCCAGTCCAATTCGGGATAGAGCTTGAGCGGCAGCGGCTCCTTCCATGGTATTCAAGTTCCAGAAAATCAAGGTCGAGGAAAGAGGATTCAGCAATGAAGTGAAGAAAATTGAATGAGCATATGGAGAAGAAGATCAGGATGTTAGGTATATCAGGTGGGTGAGGGAGTGTGGCGGAATCCTCGAGGCCTCGAGGGTGTGATTTGTCAAAACTTAGAAAACAGCCGCCAAAAGTCCAAAACCAAAAAATTGTTTGGAAATTTCCACCGTACCTCTAATTATAAAGAGTTAATTATCAAAATAGGACTAAAAGTCATTCATTTTTCACAAATAGAATAAAAAAATAAACTATATTTGCATAGGACTAATTATGTGTACCTTGCACAATTATACCCTTATAGCTATTAAAATATTTTAATTTCTAATAAAATAATAAAAAAATAATAAAAATTCGTTAAAAATACTAAAAAATTTAAGAAAAACATTTCGATATTAAAAATTTAATTAATTTTTTTTTTCAAAAAATTAAAAAAATAAAAAAAAAATAATAAAAAAAACTCAAAAAAAAATCGCCACCGCCTCTGCCGCCTCAGCAGCACCACCTCCAGTCACCAGGGGAAAAAATGCCAAGTTCATTACGAATGTCATATTTATGGCAGAAAATAATGAAAATGTTGGTATTCGAAAAGAGAAATATGCCACTTTTTTGGCATTTTCAGAAAAAAATGGCATTTTTCTGGGAAAATGACATTTTTTTCATCGGCCGGAGGTGGTGGTGCTGGGAGGTAGTACAGGCGGTGGGAAAGGCATCCATATTTTTTTAAATTTTTTTTACGGAGTTTTACTATTTTTTATTAATTTTTTTAAAAATAAAATTATTTTAAAAAAAAGTTTTTGAATTTTTTATTTTATAAAAAATTTATAAATTTTTTAATTATATTTCTACGAATTTTTGAATTTTTTTCGAATTTATTATGAATTAAACATTTAATTATGGCTTTTGACTATTTTTAATTCATATTTAATGGAAGGGTAAGAATGGAATGCAAAAATAGGTATGTTTCCAATAGGACTCATATTGTCCTATTTTGGAATAAAAACATAGCAAGTCCTATTTTAGGTTTTTGCCATAGTTTTAGTCCTATTTGAACTAATTTCTAAAATATAAAAGGTATCGGTACATTTAGGGATGGACCGGTTCCGGTTCGAGCCGGGCCGGGCCTCGGTTCATGAAGGGGAGGCCCGGGTAACCCCCGGGTCCGGGCCGGGCCTCGGTTCTATTTTTTTTTTTTTTTTTTTTGCTTTTCCTAGTTATCCCCCAACCCTCCCCCTCACCCCCAAACCAACCCTAACCACCTCAAATGGCCCAAAATACCCAACCCAACCCAAAAACTTAAAAAAAATTCAAAAAAAAATGGCCCGGGCCGGTTCACCTTTTGAAGGGCCCGAGCCCGAACCGCCATCCCACCGGGCCGGGTGGCCCGAACCGGCCAACCAACCGGTTCACCGGGCCGGTCCGGGCCCGCACAGTAGCGGGCCGGTTGGCCCGGTCTGGTTCCGGGCCGGTTGGCCCGGCCCGAGTCCACCCCTAGGTACATTCACATTTAGAGCCAATCAAATCCTACTCTGAGGCCACGTTATTTGCATAGCATTATAGTCCAAAAAAATAAGACAAATATTCATTTGTTAACCGCTCTAGACTCATCCTATTTCTTATTGATACCCGAACTCATCCTAGGGGAGGAAGCTTAGTGTCAATGAGTTTCAGAATTTGAAGCCCTTAAGATTTTGTCAATCTGGGGATTTGACCATTTGAAATAGCTTTAGGAAGAAGAAGAGGTTGCAGGTTGCATGCCTTCTTATGTAACTTACGGGAGTGACGGGAGTAACAGAGTCTCCGGCAGTTCCCCTAAAACCCTTCATACCCAGCCATACCTACTCGTAGGGGTCGGGGTAGGGAAGCAAGGTATGGATGGGAGCGGTTGGGAGTGGGTGTGGGTGGGGTAAAGGGTATGGTCGGGGTGGGGTGGTAAGGTCTAGGGGTACGGGGTTGGATGGGGTAGTGGATGGGTTAGGATGGTGGTTAGGGGTAAGGGTGGGGGTAGTGAGTAGCGTTGGGGTTGGCGTAGGGTAGGGGTAGGGTAGGGAGTTGGGATAGGATAACGGTAGGGTGGGTCCGGGATCAGGGTGCGACCGAGGTAAGGGAAGGGGTAGGGTGGGGGTAGTGGTGGGAGTGGGATGACAGTAAGGTGGGGTAGGATGGCCGTACGAGGGTGGGGGTAGGATGGCGGTAGGGTGAGGTCGGGATCAGGGTGGGGCGAGGTAGGGGAAGGGGTAAGGTGGGGGTAGTGGGGGGGTGGGATGGCGGTAGGGTGGGGCCGAGGTAAGGGGCATGTGGGAAGGGGCCAGGTAGGGATAAGGGGTAATAGACGAGGTGGGGGTAGGGTAGGGTGGGTCAGGGAGGGGTTGAGGTGGTAGGGGGTGGCGGTAAGGTAGGGTGGATCGGGGTGGGATCGAGGTATGGGCATGTGGTAGGGGGTGGGGTAGGGTCATTGTAGGGAAAAATGGTATGCGGGGTGGAGGTTGGGTGGGTAAGGTAGGGTAGGGGTAAGGTACGATGATGGAGGTACTAGAATAGAATCGACATCGGAGCGGGACTCGACCCACCACTAGAGTATGCAAATTCAATACAGCGGCCTGTAGCATATGCGTTTGTCAAATTTGGAAAAATAGTAAAAGTCATCAAGGAAAAGAGAGACATGTCTCATTTTTTTCGTTTTGGAAAACGGTTTGGTAAACGCGTTTTTCTGTTTTCCTTTCTCCAGTTTTCCAGCAATTTTCTTTGTTAAAAACGTTTCCTGTTTTCTGTTTTCTAGTTTTCCAGTTTTTTGGAAAAGTGGAAAATATTTTTGTTAGTAAACAGGCCCTAATTGTTTTATACTACATCCGTCCCGAAAAAGTTTGCCAAATTGACTTTTCTTGGTCAATGTTGGCAAATTTTGGACAATGATTTTAATTATTATATTTGTATATAATTTATAAATTTTATACTTTTCTGAAACTATTTTGAGTAAAGAATAATTTGAAATAATTTTCATATTCAAAATAATTTCGTATTAATAAATATCATTGGTCAAAGTTGATTGTTATTGACAAAGAAAAATCAATTTGGCAAATCTTTTGGGGATAGAGAGAGTAATAATTAACGTCATTCTCGCACACGGGTAGTATTTTTCAAGCTTGTAAATTTATTGCATCGCGTGTAGGGTTGGTCACAACTCACAATCCTTATTCTGAACAGAACTCGAACCACTAGCTCTTGATTCTTATAGTGCTAAACATAACCGAAATTCTAATCATACTTGAAACCATGTAATGACTATCTTATTCTGATACATTTATACATTCATGTCAGGCCGGCCTGACCTGGTCATCCGTCCAGCCTTGAGAGAAAAGTGAAGCGCCTTGGTTTTTTTATTACTGCTGCTGCTAATTTCATCGGAAAAATCGTTGCTTGCTTATAACACAAAAGAATCAATGGATGGTCTCTCCTGCTGCTACGGTTAATTTTCCAGGGGCGAAATAAAAATGCTGGTGCGGCTAAGTGACAAAGTGCAGAAAAAATAGAATGAAGTTGCTCCTACGGCTGTTTCTTTTTTTGGAATGAATCTATGGTGCGGTGCGGCTGTTGGTTCGTGGGAAGAAAAACCAGCTCATGCTCTTCTTTTTGGGTTGCTTGAGAAAGATCCAATCTCCTGTCGTTTCTTTTTTCATTGGGCTGTTTGTTCTCTTTTTTTCTATTTTCTTTTTCGACTGCACTCAATAACTTTAACACAACACTCAAATGATCCGGTTCAAACAATTCACCGCAAATTCAGCCTATAACAATCACAACTCGCCACATAGCTAATAATATGTAACTTTACCATCAAATTACTCAAAAAATGTCAAATTGTGTAAACAAATACTAAACTGAAAATGAATGGCACCAGGACCGAAAATTACAAATTTTCATTCAAAACCCCCAATTGTCACCCGATTAATTAAAAAAATTAGACAATTAACACCCAAAATATGGGTGAAAAGATAGGAATATAATGAGCCTATCAAATCTTCTCACACTTGAGTGTTGCTTGCCCCCAAGCAACATTGCATTAAACCCACGAAAAAATAATCACATGTAACACCTGGTTCAAAAATCATTCACACCCAAAACAAATGACTGCACAAGGTCTTTTCTTTCTCAACAACGAAACCAAGATTCACCTGTTAAACAATATTTTCAAAAGTAAATTCCTTCTCCAATCGATTAAAATTTAAAGAAAAGCATGATGGTCCCAACGGTGTAGGTGTGTGAAATCCAACCACCAATCATTCCAAAAACTCAATAATTGTGTGATAAAAACTGGTATGCTCGTGATTCAATTTTTTTATGTAAAGTTGGCCAAGTTTTGGATTACAAGGCTGATTCAAGCTATAGGGCCTGAGAGTTTATCTCATTAATATGCATACTCAACTCTCACACGGGGTGATTCGCGAGATGAGCATAGCCCCTTTTCGGAGATGAAATTCTCGACACAAGAAGTGTAACCCCACAACAAGAATCAGTTGCCCGCTTAGCATGAATTTATCTCGATATGCTTAGAAAGAAGAGCTCCTTACGGAGTAAGGATTTTCAACACATGGCCAGTAAAGCAATTATTGATGACGAATTAGTGAATCACGAGAAAAGTCGAATTTAATCAAAACAAATCAAACCATCTAACATGCCAACATTCCCAAGAATATACACACCACCCCGATGATTACACCATTACTAATTCTTTCCAAGAAAGATGGAGGAGATGGAAGATTACAAAAGAAAATAAAGATTAACAAGTTAACTTTGTTGCGTTGCTAAACCATAAAAGAACTCGTACACCTCAAAATGTTGTTGGGCAGAATACCTTCATCACCAAATGTCATGTCCGAACTACAACCAAACCTCCCCACACTTAGAGGTGACATCGCCCTCGAGATCACATAAAAATTAAAAACAGAAATAACGGGGGCAAGTTAAAGAATACAATGGTTTTCAGTCCGGCAGCACATCATAATCAGAATAATAATACACACAATTCAACAAAGGAGTAATAAGATAGAAAGTACACATTTTTAGCAATGTAGTAAGAGTTGACAGATTACCGTATAAGCCAAACTGCAGTGAATAACCTCCAGATTTATAACTTATTTACTACATT